GACTGAAAATTGGAATAGTGTAAATTGATGCTATCAGTGTCCCCAATGCACATGAATAATTTAGAAAACCTCTTAACAGTCCATTATAAGATGTATAATACAGTAAATGTGAAAGATTTATATGACAAGAATGTAATAGTTTAATTTTATTTATTTTATAACAAAGTAATAAAAGAAGAGATTAATATGTGGCAAGACATTAAATACCCATAATTTTAATGGCAGAAGAAAGGATTGAAATGAAAATGTTATGGAAGCCTGTTGCATACAATCAGATCTTCCTTTTCCAAACCCAGTCTCTCTGACCCACATCATGGCCAATGGACACCGGCTTCACAATATATGCCATATATAGACATAAGGTTTAGAAATAAAAAGTGAAATACATAATTTGAGGTATTTTTGAAGCAATAACCCCTCAAAATGTTGCACCTATCCCTTTGATACATAAAGTGCATCATTTATAGAAGTTTATGCCTCCTGAAAATAAGATCTTTTATAATTTATGGTGATATTAACCTGGTGCCATTTGAAATGATGAGGATAAAGTGGGCTTTAAGGAATTTGAAAGTCTTTGAAAGTTAATGTAAATCTATTAAGTTTAAAAGGAAACATTGTTTATGATGGAAGATGTAGGAAGACTATCAAAATTGATGTTTGATTTATTTGCAGATTAAAGTAAATGATGCAATAGAATTGAACTATAAACATTTTTCAGGAACCTTACTTTTTATATGCCCACATGAAATGGGAGGCGTATATTGTCGTCACCCATGTCCGTCTGTCCACAATTGCTCGTAAACACTCTAGAAAGCACAATTCTGGACTGATTTTGACGGTATTATTGTTTGTTATCACCCAAAGATGAACCCTATTAAAAAACAGAAAAATATTTAATATCAGTTATTGCCCTTTGTTCTTGAAAATGTGTTCAATTTTTAGCCCATAAACACTCTTGTAGGCACAATTCTTTATAGATTTTGACGAAACTTGGTAATATTATACACTATCACTCCAAAAAGTTCAACTGAAGGTTGAATATTTCATACTGTACTGCCAAATATTTATATTTAAAATCAAAGCTGCCAGTGGTCATATATTACCTTGCCTAGCAAGCTATCTTATAAAGTGGGTGTATACATCAGCTTCAAAATAACAAGAAGAGTTAAAAACATTTCTCCCTTTGGTACTAAAATTTTAGAAAACATTTTTGGTTTTTCCATTGAGGTAAATAGAGGTGAATATCGTTGTTTAATGAACTCAGTTTGCTTATATCTTTTTCATATGTAGAGTTACTTTCAAATTTTGTCATTTAATTTATACTCTGTTTTGAACTTAATAGTATGTAATTTCAAAATACATAGGAAAATCAACACATACTTCCAGTATAAGCAAACTTTCACGCATCTATATCGTGATTGCTAAGATATTTAGTTCCAAAGAAAATGATGTATGGTAAATTTAATAGGGATATAAAAGAAAACTAAGATATTGATTTTTGAGATCAGATATAATGCTTCTGACAAGTCTGTTTGAAATCCATTTTTCATTGCTTGAAATTTCTGTTTTGGTCATGCCTTTTACAGTTCCAAATATATATCATGCATCATAATCAATTTTTACGATGGGAGCTTTGATAAGATTTAGATGGAAGAGTCAATAAACTCCTATGTATCAATATTTTGATATATTGCCAATCTTCCTTTTTTTTTTTATCTTAGAGAGCTATTGACTGTTCTACTGTGTCACCTGATTTATCCTTGTATAATGTTCATGTCTATACATATTATTTCTGTCATTAATCTTAGATGGACATTTTAGACATGGTGTGGAAATATTGGAAATAGAAATGGTGTTTTAAGTTATCTTTAACGTATTCAGCACATTTAAGGCTTTGGTTTATTATTCAATCTGGACAACTGGATACCATATCAGCCCATCTGACCTGTATCACTGAAAGGGAAAAACTAGGTTGAATTATCCGAATGTTTATCTTGAGCAATGCTAGTATTGAACCCTGTACCTTTATGTTAGTGAGCAAATGTATATCTGATTGAGCCACTGTGACTCCTTGTGGTATATGAAGAAAGAACTTCTATATACTGAAGTCAAAGTAATTTAAGACTTCAGTGATGGTATCTCTGGAAAGTAATTCTAAAAATTTCACTTGGAAAAGGACCTGTTGTAGAATAAGGAAAAAAATTGATTCTCAAGCAGGAAGGAATTACTGTTAAAGATAAAAAAAAATTGTAATTTCTTTTTAAGTCTAGCTTTTGTTGAATTACATTATTTATATATAATCTCCATCGCCTTTGGCGATCTCTTTGAATTTAAAGATGGTCTTGTATTAAAAGCAATACCCCTTTTTGGTAATCCAACTTTAAAAGCATTAGTGACAGTACTGGATTGTTGGAATCATAGTTATTGATATAATTTAATTTAGTAATGTCAGTAATTACTTGTAATGTTATTTGAAATATTGAACTATTTGTAGGATAGTTTTTTATTGATCTGTTATCATATTCTATTGATATTTAGTGGTCTTTAGCTAACATTAAGATATTTATAGCTAGATACAGACTATATACTGTGTGATGGTAGATTTACTGTGTTTTCTGAAAAACCAACCAACAGACAAGTCTGTCAGAACTGTTGATCTTGTTGAACTTGACAGTTGCGTCTGTTTAGGTTCAAATGCTTTGAAGTCTTTCATATACAGAGCAGCAGCCAGGAGCAGTTTGGTCGAATGAACACCAACTGTGGAGTGCCAGATCATGTAGAGAATGATAGGGCATATAATGAACCTCGAAAAGCTTCATTTGGCTGGCCAGACACCCAAAATAGTCTTCAATCTTTTTGCTAGGTCAAAAACATTTAACTTTGTTTCAAGTGATACACTTGAAACAAAGTTAAATGTTTTTGACACATCTAGAGAGTGCAGAATGGTCAATGCCAGACTAATTACCCACTGAATTATGCCCACAAGTCACGTAAAAAAATGTTGACACAACCCAGTGATGTGGCCAAATTGACATCCACGATTACCATGATACCATGTTCATTTGACCAGACGTCACCTTTTACATGGAAAATATCACTTTTGTGCAGTATTTTAAGGACTGAAAACTGCTGTTGCTTCAAGAAGTTCAAGTAGTGATAGTAACTTGGAACATTTCTGCTATGGGTAGTGGTTGGCTTATAAAAGTAGCAGACTCATGTCTGAATATGGAATATGAAATGGAAATAACCTAGTATTTTCTAAGCCTCACTGAATATTATCCTATTGAAACTGTTTCTAAGATTTCCCAATGTCAAACAGTCTATCACCTTTTCGTTGTTGATTTCCATTTCGTTCAAAGGTTTAATTTGTTCTTTAGAAAAGGCCAAAGAAAGAAGAAAAACAAGTATTGTCTAGATCTATATTTAAACTGGGAAAAAATTAAATCACAAATTGAATATCGATTGGTTTTATTAGAGAAAAAAGGAAGAAGTTAGTATCTTCTTTAAGTCTATGTATGAGTCATTTACTGATCCTATTACACGAAGAAGCCTTATAAAAAAGTACTCTGTAAAATATCAGTATTGATTAAAATAAGGCTTTCATTGCTTTCATCTGAGATAAACCTCAACAAACATGTTATTAATTTAGAATTTATAGGTCCTAAAGAGTTCCATGCTTTTTTCCATCTTTTATGATATTTGTTTTTGTAGTAAAAAAAAAAATGGGCATTCATCCCGAGCTTTATTGCTGTATGACGCTCTGAAGATTTACAAATTATAAAGGCACCTTGAGATGTAGTTGTCTAAATTTTTGCTTTCCATGCTGTTGGCTGTAAATTTCATCTAACTGTATTGCTTCTTATCATTTTTAAGAATGCAAATATGGGAAATGTAATTATAAATACACTGGTGGAAGTGGTCATCTAGAATTCAGCTGTTAGCAACAAAGAATTTAAATATGATGATATTGTTAGCCCAGCTATGCCTTACTTTTTCGTCTGTCTAAAATCCAATGCCTTATTATGGTCTTTGGAGAAATGAGATAGAAAAGTTTATAGCAACTCTTTCAACAGACACCAAGATAACTGCCCAGCAACTATATCCTGTCACCCCTGTCAGCTGGTTTACTGTGCACACTAACGCAGCATATACCCCAGCAGATGGTATACCGGCCGTTACTAAGTGACGTCATACAGTTTTACTTTTATTACTTGGAGTTAAGGGTATATAACGTTGCATTTACACGCAGGGTTTAAAGGGTTAACAAAGACTTGAGTTTGATATGGTTTACCAGCCGCGAATTCACCCATTAGTCATGTTGAAAGATATCCACATTTGAAAAAAAGAAAAACAAAGATAAAAGACTATATTATTTTATAATAAAATGAAATTGATATGTTTAGATAAAATATTAAAAACATTTTAAAATTATTGGTAAATGATGGAGTAGGAGGTATAATCTGAACAAAAATACTTGAGGGAAAATGAAAGTAACAAGGCTTAAGACTTGTTCTGTATTGACAACACTTAAACTGTCTCAACATGAAAATTACTGCTTGTTTTTATACTTGGAATGGTTCCTGTATGTGCAATTATGTTTGATTATACTGGTAAAAGGTCCATGATAAATCATGTGTACTATCTGTATAAAAATGAGAATTATTTACATGAAAAAGAATTAAAAGAAATATTATTTACAGATAAGAATTATAAAAATACATCTCTAAAACGCAACAGTGTTATTGGAATGTTTTCAAATGAATTAAGAAATATTACAGATGAGCAATTTTTCTCATAACTACTTGGTAGAACAAGCAATTTCTAATGTACTTTGGACGAAGTTAAAATTGATATATCTAATGTTGCAGAAGGCAAGTGTACATAACCATAAGAAGTGTAACAAAACTGATAGCCAGTAATGAAGCTGAACTGGTCATTTGACCAGTACGATCTGGTGTAGGTTCTGCTGAATACTCCAGTGTCATAGTATCAGAACCATCGCCTTGGGTGTTAACAGCTAAACATGTGTATTCTCCAAAATCTGTTGTTGCAACACCATATATGGTCAGAACACTGGTCACTTTATTCAGTGCACCAACAATTGTCCGTACTTCAATGTAATTGGTGGATTCTATAGGTACATTATCTCTGGACCATGATACATAAGGCTCTGGATTCGCTTCTACATTACAAACCAAACTTTTCACAAAACCTACTGCTTGTCGTACATTTTTATTCTCAGCTTTGACAATAGGTTGGTGCGTGACAGTAACAACAATTCTTCTTTCATCATGACCAGCTTCGTTATCAGCAAGACAAATATATACTCCGGCATTTTCAGGTTTAATTTGTAGAATGGGCATATTGAATTCTCTCAATTCTTGACCTCCTGTTGGTAATAACTCTCCTGCCAAACGACGCCATTTTACTACAGGAAAGGGTCTACCAGTAGCATTACATCGAAGCATGATATCATCACCTTGTTTTGCTACTATATCACTGCTGGTTTGTAAATCAGCTATTTGAGGTTTCTCAATAACTCTTAAGTACTCAAAGTCTTTTTCGTAATTTAAAAATCCCGTCTGGACTCGACATATGTATTTTCCTTCATCTGTTACTTGAGCATTTTGAATACGCAGTCTCCATGATGTAGGTGATGGCTGATCTATACTGTATTTAAAAGGATCTGTTTTAACAGCTGTAGCACTAGAAATAGCAACTGTAGAATTTGTTAACTCAGCTTGCCACTGGACATCATTGCCTGTTGGTTTATTTTGAACTGTACATCTCAACTGGGCATCTCTATCTTTCTCCACTATAATCTGATTATACAGTTCATTTATGAGAGGATCTGTTTCTGTTATTTCCACAATTGGGTCATCACCAAATACAGATAATAAGGCACATGTAAACACAAATAATGTTTTCCAAAACATGCTGTCACTGTTTTACCAACAAATGATCCTAAAATATCTGAATATTACAGTCTTTTACTTGTATTTTGAATGAAAATCATCTCAAACTAAACACCTTTCTACCTGTGCAATTAGTCCGCCATGACAGTTTTATAAATAGCTTACTTTTGACTCACTATGACACACAGTTGAATGCTCTATTTCTATTGGCTAATATGTCACATTCCTATGAAAGGACTTTCTTGATTGGTTAAATTTCCCTTATCTTACCTGTCCTCTATCCACTCAGGTATATAACAATAGTCCAGATCAATCAGCAGTAAGCTGGGATTGATTGTCACTGTTATCAAGTCATATCTAATCAATTTACTCTCTTAACTTAGCTTTAATGGCTTTTAATCAAATTTTTTGTTGAATTATAATCAGTTTAATGTCTGATGAATTTGTTAAGCTTGGTTATTCAAAGGTCATGCTTCAAAATTAAAACTTTTAGTAACTTTTTAGATAATAGGAAAAAACAACTAGTGAATGATATTTGGTAGTGTGAAATTTTGTTTTTCCACTAATTCTAAATATTTCTTTGAATATTAACCAAAGACTTAACCTAAAGAGGGAAGTTTTTATTGAAATTACTGTCAAGACTTGTGACTTGAAATAGCATTTAATGCTTGTTAAGGTAAAAAAACACAAGAAACAATTGAATAACATTCCGAACTTCAGATTTTTGTATAAAACTGTCTAAAAGTAAAATAAATATCTAAATTAATTATAACAACATTTATTTTAAGATTAGTCATGCATTAGTAATTTTCTTAACTTTTGTGCCTTGTTTTAGCATGAATGTTTACTTTATGACCTAGGCCAGTGCTTTTATGAGACAATGTTCTCATCAAACACAGTCTTAACAAATGACATTTCTAATATTTGCTTATAGTTTTAATTTAGGTCTACTAAATATAGTGTCCTTTTTTTTTCGTAATATTGACAATTACAAGTACAGACAATACCCAAGAAAGTTGATAAATTGCAATAAAGAGTTATCTACCTTTAATACCTTGTCTCACTTCAGCATTGAACTTCTGCAGCTTTTGAATTTTCTCTTATCATGTATGGCTTATGTAAAGTAAGGATCAAATGCTGAGCTTGAAATAGCAACAGAAGGAACAAATCCTGGTTGGATTTCTATGATCTTGGTTGAATTATATTGTTGTCACTTACTTAAGCCTTACCCTAATCTGTGAGACAAAATCTAACTGTTATACTTACATCATTTATTATTTCTCTCATGAAGAACATTAAATTGAAAAATAAGAATCATATACAGTCAAGTAACCTAATTTCGTGCTAACCTATTTTTCATGCATTTCCGGAAAGGATTAATAATTTACAATTGCGACCTTGTGTGAACTCCGCTACACGAAAAAGGGTGATGCATTCTGCCGCTGTTGCCGAGTTGGTTGCTCATGAAATATGGGTCAAAGTGAAGGATTCATAAAGAAAATCGAAATAAACTGATTTTAATTATTTTGTAGAATATCTGAGGAAACATCTAAGACATAAAAAAGAAATTTCATTTTTTTAACTTTGTGGAAATTTGGTGTTGAATCGTTATATCCACGAAAATAGGTTACACCACTGTATCATTTAGTACTTTAGTACTTTTTGTTTACTTTCTCACCACTGTGATATAAATATTTAGATATAATCACATTTATATGCTGCTGTCCTGATGAAACTTCCCTCATTGCACACTGCATGGTGTTGTTCACCTTAATTAACCCAAAAAAGAAGGATGTAAAATTCCATTCATTTTATTTCATTTGTTACACGATAGTAATGATGAAATTATTCTTTTGAAAATTAAGTGAAAATTTAGTTTATCAGTTGTACGAGCATAATAGTGAATTATCCTTAGAAAGGTCACCTTAAATGACCTTGAATGTTATCTCAACAACTGCATGTTGAAGTGAAAAATTATTTGGAATCAAATTACCATTATCCTTGATTTTAATCTGATTAGACCTAACACCGTCTTGAACAATATTTAAAATAAACATTTCACCACACGTCACACCTTCATTTATCAAGTGAAAAAACTTCATGTTATATGTATAGTAATGAATGATATAAATAGGATTAGAATTTTAATGCATATTATATTATATTGTTAATTCATTTCATTAATAGTTATGAAGATACATGATTTTTGTTTGATTTATAAAAGTAAAAGATATCGGAAAGAGGATTTCTAAATTTTTTATGTGTATCAGGGACACTGATAGTATCGATTTTCACCATTCCAATTTTCAATCAGACATCTGTGGTTCTTGCGATTCCACTAAAACTAAGCGTTCTATAACGTCACTGTCCCAAATATTACTATTGATATATATCAGTGTGATATACTTAAAAAGTTTTGAAAATCTCATTACAATACCTTAAGGTTCGAAAAGTGTGGTCATCACTATCACTTTGAAAAAACTTAATTGAATGAATCAGTTTGATATAAGGATTCAATGTAATGTTAATACTTGTTGATATTGACTACTGCCAAGTCTTTCCAGTTCACTTTTTACCTAGGCTAGTATAACGAATGGCTAACATCTGTTCATAGCACCTGGTATGCTGTGTATTTTTCTTTGATTTGGTCGGAACTTACTGGACAGTTCTGACATGGTTTTCTAGGACTTAAATACTAGGGTGAAAATAAGAAAATATATTAAGAATTAAGAATTTCTATCTGTGAAGTCTGTTCATGATATTGGAATAATTTTTCTCTCTTGAGTTCCGAGAAGAAAATCTTACGTCCTAATTTTTCTACAGAAAGTTCCACTTTGTTCATTATTCTGAGGTCTGGTGTTAGAATTTAAAACTTTTTTTCTCTGTTTCCATTTTGAAATATTGATTTTCAAGTGAATTCGCAATGCTGTGAAAGCGAAAGAGTATATTATATAATTGGTATGAAAGTAGTGGTAGAGTTAAAGATAGAACTCAGTAAAGATAGTGTTACTATAGCGTTACCAGTGTGGTAGAGTGGAAGATGAAGTGTTATCTGTGTTAATTTCATCATATATCTACTTATTGCTCATATTTCAACCGACTAGGAAATTTAAAATATGCAAAGAACTTCTAAGGTACAGCACTTTTTGATTGCTTGATCAAATGACATTCGATGGATTTTGTTTAAAGATTGATTAATTATGCTAGTAATTAGAGTCTTGGGAGAGAGTGTATTTGATTTCTATGTGCGACATTCAATATATTGCTATAAGGTGAGCCAACCAGTTGAATAAAATGAGATCACTGGCTAAGTCTGTACCTGTTTTTCTACTATTATTTAGAATTTCTATGGTGTTAACTTTGACTGTCCTTGGTATATAATGAGAATATTGTGTATAGTGATATCAAGGTTGATTTGCTTGTTATTTTCTACTTATGTATTTTGGCATGTGTGAATTTATATTGCTTTCAAATTGTTCACGTGTTAGGTAAGTCTGCTAGATTTGTCAAGTTGAAAGCTTGCAGATATTTCAATTCGATTATGTAGGAACTTGTCTTAGAATTTATATTTTCATCGTTCAAAGTTTTGTTGAAAGGTAAGAAGGTATGATGTGTTACATAAGAAGGAATTATCAGAGTTGAGATGTTATGTGAAATTTTCCCTGACTCAAGAGTGGTTATCAGAAGGAATTGTCTTTAGAGTTGAGTTGGTATATGAAATTATTCCCTCATCAGTGTTTATGACTAGTATTTAGTACAGTGTGTTTATCATAAGTTTCTTATAAGGATGTAACTGTAACCTAGCTTTGAGGAAAGATTCTTTTCTAGTGTGGTTAGTTCTGTAAGGAGCAAGTCTAATGACATGAGTTTATATGATGAAGGATTTGCATGATAAGAGACAATAAACATCAATCTAATGATGCAGTATCATGATTTATACTATGTTATTGTTTACAAACCCTGGTCCACTTTGCCCCATACAGTTTTAGATTGCGATTTCTTTTTAACTGTCTAGCTGTGCAGACGGGTTCTGTATTGAATGCCTGATCATTTTCCGATTGAACATTGACTTAATTTAATGTAACAATTAAGAAGCATTTTTACGAAAATTCTGTCTAGTGTTTAGATCAGAGTTTTGCCTAGTGTTAAATTCAACATTCTGCCTCGCGTGGCAATCATTGCTTAAACTAGCATTCTGCCTTAGATTGTTTTGATAAGTGTAGTGCAAAGTGCTCAAGCTAGCAGTTCTTTCTAGATTTCTTCCTAGTGTTTAAACTAGCATTCTGTCTTGTGATCAGATTAGTGTTCTACCCAGTGATTATAGTAGTATTCTGCCTTGTGATCAGATTAGTATTCTGTCTTGTGATCAGATTAGTGTTCTTCCTAGCGTTCAAACTTGCATTCTGTCTTTTGATCAGATTAAGTTCAGTTCAATTTTATATTCTGCCTCATGTTCAGCTTTGGTAAGTGTTCAGTCTTGTCAATGCTTATAAGTATATTAGACTATTTATACTACTTTTTTTAATTAAGTTTTACCTTTTTTTGATAGAAGTTATTTTTACACATGAAAGTTAGTTGTGACAAGGAAATTAGTATTAGTTAAGGAAATAAATGTATAATTTTTTTTTTACAAAGATTTGTAAGGACATGAGAAAGAGGACAATTTCAGTAATATGTGAAATAAAGATGACATTGTCTTTTAACTATGAATTTGACTAGTAATTGAAACAGTGTCATATCTATGAATGTGAATTTCAATATTTTAGGAAATGAGGTTTTACTGTTTTCAAGTTTGCTGAGAAGCTTAAAGGGATTGTAAAGAGGTTTTCTAAAAATTTGTATGTATATGTATCAATTTGCACTATTTGAATTTTCAATCACAGGTCTGTGGTTCCTGCAATTTTACTAAAACTAAGTGCTTGATGATGTCACTTATT